CAACTATAGACTTACTTTCTCTACAAATCAGGTTATCAGTAACTAAAAACTTCACCCTGTACCCAGCTCTAGCTCACTCTTGATTCTTGTCTTTGTATGTTGGTTGTTCATTGATAGAGCATCTAGCAACAAGGTACAGAGCTCTGTGTGTTTTTGCCAAAAGCCATTTTCAGTAAATATAGCTATGCATTGGTAACCCCAATTTAGAATATAATTTTTTAAATTAAGAAGTTGGATGGTGGCCAGGGATTAAGCTCAGCAGTGCAAGCACTTCCTGGTAAGTACGAGGTCATGAGTTTGATTCCTGGCACCAAAAAAAGAAAAAAAAGTAGTTGGATGAAGTTGTCAAAATATAGTAGTTATCACTACCATTTATTTTGACTCCAGTATGCCCATAGCTGTTATAAACATTAATCTTAATATGGTTCTTAAAACAGTCCTCCAAAAAGTGAATGCATTGGTGCTTTTATGGCTGCAGAATCTGGGATTCAGCAAGGTCATGTAACTTGCTCAAGGTCAAGTACTTGGCATAGAGTTGAGAATTTTATCCTAGGACAAACTGGCCACAAAGCTATCACACTGCCTTGCTTCCTGACTATTATCCATCCTGGCCTTGCCCAAGAAAACATGTTGCAAGTTCTTTATTTCAAGAACAAGTGGTAAGAGAGTTGAAACAAAATGTGCCTGAATATTCAGTAATACTTTAGTTATACCCCAGTGTCTAAATATCATTTCTGGAAGTTAAAGAGTTCTAGACTAAGGTAATCACAACTCTTGTTCTTGTTTTCCGTTTTGTTGTTTCTTAAATAATTACAGGTTTTTCTGTAATATACTTTATTATGGGGAAAAACAAAGCTGGTCCTCTTCTCTTGCATAAGTACATGTTTCTTGTAGAAAATACGGTTACATTCAAAAATGATGACACTTCCCAAACTACCTAGGGAAGCTGCCTCACAGTGTGGGCACTAGATCTGGACTGCTGGGGTGCCAATCCTGCTCTGCAACTTCCCATTTTGGAGATGTCTTTCTGGTCTGTGGAGTTGGAAAAACCTACTTCATCAGAGTTGTTAAGGTTAAATGAGTTACCAGTTGCAAAATGCCGAGAAGTTACTAAGAAATTCTTAACATTTTAATAATCGTCTGGTCTCCCTCTCTGAATCTGTGTGTACATTATAAATACATCTGATAGTATGCCCATCGTTTTAAAAAGGAAGCATTTTTTAACCACCCACTTGTCATCAAATAATATGTTGTAATCTCTCTTCTTTACCTCTAAATAGTCTTCTCCATTCCTTGACAGCTGCCTACAACTCAGGATGTGATGGCTTGAATCTAACTGAACTTATATTGGTTGGATGTAGAGATTTCCAGTTTTGCAGTGACATAATACATCTAAGACAAAGCAGTATAGTTATTGTGCCATGAATGTTGTCTCTGAGTGACAGCAGCTTCTGGCTCTTTTCAGAGCATACTCACCACTCCTTCCCCTGGTGCCAGTGAGGACCAGGAAGTACTTCCTTCGGAGCCCACAACTTCCAGTGCTGTGGATTTACAAGTAGCCCTAAGTGGAAGAACTCAAGACTCTTAAATCTAGAAAAAACTTTTCTTGAGATCAGTATCTCTGCTATGGATGATTTCTTGGTTTCCAAGAAATCACAAATCAGCAGGTGCTTTCTAAGAAGCTGTCCTAAGGGCTCAGACATTGCTTCCCAGGCTGAGTCCCTAAGCCCTCACCCTTCAGGGTGGAGAGCTGTAGCCAGATCTATACCATGCTGCCCTGCTTCCCACACCTTGCTGTTTTAGCTTTTTTTTTTTTTTTTTTGGTCTTTTTCCTTTTTATCAGTACCGGGGATCGAACTCATGACTGCCTGCTTGCAAGGCAGGTGCTTATGCCGCTGAGCTAAATCCCTAGCCCTTGCAGTTTTAGTTTTATAAGTGTCTGACACCCTTATTTCTTTTACTAGTGTAAAATTCTTACTGGATCCATGTTGGCAAAAACATTGTTTCCTATTTAACTATCCCTCCTCCCCCGACACACTGCCTTCCTCCACTAGTAAACCAATAAGCTATGTATATGAACCTAACTTTGCCTGTCTGCTTCCTTTCTTTAAGTGCATTATATGTGTAGGCTCAGGGAGATACTTGTCTATTGAGTATGATCCCCAGAAGGCAAAAGAGTAATAGCCAGAAGTGGTTGGAGATAGTGATCTCTTGTACAATCTCTTGTAGGATACCGTTCTGAAAATGGTAATGGCTTTAATCAGATCTTTCTCTCACAGGCTAACAGAAGCAATCTTCAGTTTTGGAAATAGCATGTTTAGGGGCGTACCTTCTAAAGGAACTCAGCTGTATTTCAAGACATGTGGACTGACCAACCTCAAACATTCTTTGAAACATTTAAGGGAATGGCTTGGTTTTTCTTTTGTTTTCCCATTCTATTCTAAGAAGTATATCATTATTGCTAGGAAAAAAATATACTATGTTTTAGGGTGATGCATCTGTCAAAATTACAGAGGAACCAGCATGTCTTTGAGGTATAAAGAATAGCATCAGAACTTAAAAATTGGGGAGTAATGTCTGTTATGTTTGTAAAACTCAAAGCATCAATTACTCTGAGTATTTTACAGAGTGCTTGTTAATTAGTTTCCGTGTGACACCCTCTCTGAGAGAAAGGTTAAGCGGCTTTCCCTTCCACTGGTGAGGACTCAAACAATAAGAGGTTAATTGACTTGCCTTGGGTTCTCCACAGAGAGGCTAACCCCACTGGAGAAATTTTCACTGTCTGTATCTCTTGCTTTCTATTCCAAAGGCTCCAAGGAACCAGGGCTGCCCTAGAGAAGCCCCAACTGAGGCAGCACAACTTCCAACTAACGCAGAAGTGTGTTGCTGAGCTCCATGCCCTTTTCTTTTTTGTGGTGCTGGGAGTTGAACCCATCAGTCATTCTTTCATTCTTGGAACTACTGAGGTTGTGAGAAAGATGGTCTTTTCAAGGTCATTGTCCATGATCCTTGAACTAGAAATTGTTCTGCTGTTCTGTGCTAGGCTGTAGGAATGATGGATGGCTCAAATCAATTATTGGTCATTCTCAGCAGAAGCCCTGTGAATTTGAACTATAAACTTGACATCTTTGGAAGGCTTAGGAATCTGATATTATTTTCAGAAAGAAAAGAATTCACTTATTGGCCTTTTCTGTAGAAGAGGAACCAGTTTTTCTTGGTGGCATGTTGGTATTAAAACCTGTCTAAAATTTGGATGTTGCAAAATACATAATGGGACTATAGAGATGGTTTCTAATATAGAAAGCTCCTGTATCTCTTCCTCTGCCCCCCAACAAAGCTGCTCAGTGGTGATCATCTTGGCTTCCTGCTCTCAGCAAGGCAGCAGATCTTTGACCCAAAACTACATTGGTGGTGCCACTGAAGATACGATTTTAGATAAGAAGTTATTGTTGTGTCTGGGGGTGAGCACTGCTGGGTTGAGCATAAACTTAGCATCAATAATGAATTAAAAGGACAGAGTTTAAGAAAGGAAGAGGCTTTATGTATGAGGAAGAGAACAAGACAGAAAGCTGCCCTGAGAAAGGGGCAGGGAGCTCCAGAAAGATAGATGCTCATAGGCCTTTGTCTCTAGGTTCTTTTATGATGTTTTTAGGGAACCTTTTCTCCCTGTAACTTGTGACAATTTGGACTGTCCTTGATTAAATTGTGCACCCTTACCTACAGGCACATTCCTTTTGGTGGGCTTTGATTTCTTTCTCGATGAACAGGTGGTTGGTGATGAACAGGTGGTTAGAACACAAGGTTGGTTAGGTCAGCTTAGAATTAGTAAGGGGTTGTAGGTCTTTTGTAATAGTACAGGGACCCTAGAGTGAAAAAACATATAGTGATAACTCGGTTCATGAACAATTTAGTTTGCAAACAGAAGCATTCTGAAAAACTTTGGTTCCATTTGCAAACTGTGCATTGGATGATGAACATAAGAACTGTGAAACATGTTTAAATACATTTTTATATGCTGAACATATGCTTTCTTTAAAGAAAGACAGCCCTCTTTGCCTCATCTCCTTTGCATTTTATTGGAGCTCAGGAGGCACAGTTGTCTTGGCTTTGTACACCTGGCTTTTTTGTGCTTTGCCTGTCAACTTTCCCTCTGGTCCTCTTTAAATCTCAATGCCATGTGTGCTATCTGGTTCCTTTTTTATATCTGGTTTTTCTCTTTCTCTGTCCTTGTCCTTGTAATTGTTTTCAAGGGAATTGTTTTCCTCTAGTAAAGTTTTAACTCCTTCTGGGAAGGATTAGCCAGAAAACCAAGGAGGCACTTATTCTATCCTTTCCTGGCTACAGACTCTCTTTCCCTACATTATCATACCGATGTTTCTATTATTGTTGTGTTTTGAGTGTACTTTTCTTCTGGGCTCCATATATATATGGCCTCTCAGAATTAGCTAAAATAACTTGTAAGATTGTAAGAAGCTGGTGGAGGGTAAGCTTATTAGCAAGAGTAAGCAAATTAAGACTTACAATGAGTAAGTCTCATTGTAGACTATGAGACAGTAAAACTGATTTAATAATCACTCTACTGCTTGGAGGTTGAGATTTAGGCTAATGAGATCTTCTTTTTAGGCTTTATGTTTTCTGCTGTAAAAAATGAGCATCCTTACCTCACCATTAAACTGTAAACTGACACCAATAGATGTCTAATTCATAGACGGAAGCAGATCAAACCTGGGTCCAGTGAATGTTGCCATGTTTTATCCTCAGAATAAGGTTGCCTCCTTTCTTCCACCAACCAGCACCCACTCCCCTCATATCCAGTTGTTTAAGTTAGGTTGGGGAGTACAGATTTGCCATCTTAGTCTTCAGACTCTACAGTCATTTTATTAGATGGGAAACCAAGGCCAGGCATGGTGGTGTGAATCCAGGTTGATGTGACCTTTCTTCCTATGTATTTTGTCTGGAGCAAGGGTACTTGGTCACCCCCCTTGCTCTTTTCTTCCTAGATGGAACAAGAAGATCAGGGTGTGTGTGAATACCAGGACTCAGAAGACAGAGAGATGGGTTCTGATTTTGAGAACACCGAGGACAGGGAAGGGGACCCAAAGGAAAGAGGAATGGATTCTAATCCACAGGATGCAGGAGACAGAGGCCACCTGGTGGAGGAGATGGACTCCAATCCACAGGACGAAGCTCTGAGAGGGCACATGCGGGAGAGGGAAGTAGCACCTAGCACCTGCACAGGTGAGGAGATGGATGGAATTTCCCCCACTCACCTTTACACTGCGCTTCTCTAGAATCATAATCATGCAGCATTCTTTTTGGGAAAGCTCTAGAGGAGACCACTAAGCAGGATTCTGTTCTGACTTAGCCTTCTTAGTGTGGGTACAGGGGAATGTTTTTCTTCCATTGAGTCTGAGGTAGGCTCTGCTGGTCAGTGTGGGCAAAGTGGCTGACTGATGGGCACAGCACTTTGCAGCAGAGTGCTGCTATAAATCACCACTTGTACAAGTGTGCAACAGAATTACACAGGTAACATTGGAACCTATCTCACAGGGTTGCTGGATGAGTTAAAGATTTGCTGCATTTAAAGAGATACTTAGCACAGTTCTGGGCCAAGTTATCCAGATGTTTCTGGTAAGAGAAATCATCTATTTCCCTTTGCAAGTAAGTAAAATTGCCTAGGTTCATGTGTTAATTTCCAAAGTGTATACGCCATCTGCTAAATCCCCTTGTTTGTGATGTGAGACAGTAAATGCTGGGCTTCTACCGTTTGTTTACTTCTGTCTCTGGGCATGTTTTGCCTATTTCTGCAAAGCATATACCCTATGGGAAGAAATGAGCTGAAATTCTTTTTAAACAGGTCTGTGAGGTTACATTCCTTTCTTGGTGACATAGGCCCAGACTCCTGGCAACCACCCTACCCCCGCGGTCCGCACAAGCATGTGGCCTTCCACATCCCAGGAACTTTTGGGAAGCTCTTGTGCTTGGGGAAAAGCAGCCAGAGACCAACAGATGTGTGTCCTGGCCCAGCCTCCAACCTAGGCTCAACGGCTCTAGGATCCATGTTCTCTTCCTCTATCTCACTCCCCCTCCCGTGTCATTAAAAGTGAGTTCAGTTTGTTGTTGTACCTTCAGCTGTTCCAGACTGATCAAATACATTTAAAACATACATACAGACCTGTTTAGGCTAAGGTGTCCTCTGTGTGAGTATACGTCTGGATGTGGTTGGCCAGACTAGTTTGTCTTTTGAATCTAGACCCTTCAAAAGGCACTGATAGCTCTTGGATAACAAACCTTATTTCTGGAGATCCAGGCCTCAAAAAGTCCCATCTGGCACAGCTTTGGGCCTCTCTTCCCTTTAGTAGCTCAGCTAAGCAGAGGCCGGGGTACCATTTGTGGGGTCTGCAAAGTGAATCAGAAAGCCCTATTGTAGGATTTCCTGAGAGGAGAGAGGTGGGTGGAATCACCATATTCCTTGGCCCCACTCTTGCTGTTGAGGCTGTTTTCCTAGGCTTATCTTTTGAGTGCCAGGTCTGGTAAACCCCGTTGCCGCCTTTTCTGTTGCAGAGGAGCTACTGAGTGAGGAAGAAGGGGTTGCTGTCCCTGAGGAGGTGGACCACCAGTTTGGTGTGGCTGACATGGCAATGTTTTCAGGTCTGTCTGAGTCAGACAGCATGGCCCGGAGCCCAGAAGAGGAGGCAGAGGAGAGCACTGGGGAGAACCAGCTGGAAGAGGAAGAGGAGCAGCCTCCCCCTCCTGTACTTCCCTGGAGGCGCCACCTCTCCCTGGGGCGACGGCACCGGGGCGACAAGCCCTCCCACCGCCGTTTTCACCGACTGCACCACCCCTTGCCCTTGGACCTCGGGGAGCTTGACAGCCTGGTGGCCAGCATCATGGACTCCCCCACCATCTGCCCGGACTGTGGGGAGAGCTTCAGCCCTGGTGCGGCTTTCCTGCAGCACCAACGCATTCACCGCTTGGCGGAGGCCGCTGCTGTGGCCAGTCTGCAGTCCTTTGGCCTGGCGAGTGAGTGTGGGGCAGTGGTGGGCATGATGGGGGTAAGCGTGGCAGGGGCGTTCGGAGCGGGGCCCGCGTTGGCCCGGCCCCCCCGCGAGAAGCCTTTCCGCTGTGGGGAGTGCGGCAAGGGCTTCAGTCGCAACACCTACCTGACCAACCACCTGCGCCTGCACACAGGCGAGCGGCCCAACCTGTGTGCGGACTGCGGCAAGAGCTTCAGCTGGCGCGCAGACCTGCTCAAGCACCGCCGCCTGCACACGGGGGAGAAGCCCTACCCGTGCCCTGAGTGCGGCGAGGCCTTCAGCCTCAGCTCACACCTGCTCAGCCACCGGCGTGCACACGCAGCGGCCAGCGGTGCGGGCGCAGAGGCGCTGCGGCCTTTTGCCTGCGGGGAGTGCGGGAAGGGCTTCGTGCGCAGGTCCAACCTGGCCAACCACCAGCGCATCCACACCGGGGAGAAGCCGCACGGCTGCAGCGAGTGCGGGAAGCGCTTCAGCTGGCGCTCAGATCTGGTGAAGCATCAGCGTGTGCACACAGGTGAAAAGCCCTACATGTGCTCTGAGTGCGGGGAGACCTTCAGCGTGAGCTCGCACCTGTTCACGCACAAGCGCACGCATTCGGGAGAGCGGCCTTACGTGTGTCGCGAGTGTGGCAAGGCCTTCGGGCGCAATTCGCACCTGGTGAACCACTTGCGGGTGCACACAGGCGAGAAGCCCTTCCGCTGTGGCCAGTGCGAAAAGTGCTTTAGCGACTTCTCCACGCTCACTCAGCACCAGCGCACCCACACGGGTGAGAAACCCTACACGTGCATCGAGTGCGGAAAGAGCTTCATTCAGAGCTCACACCTGATCCGCCACCGCCGCATCCACACGGGCAACAAGCCACACAAGTGTACGGGTTGTGGCAAAGACTTCCGCTACAAAACGCACCTCGCACAGCACCAGAAGTTACACCTGTGCTAGGGTGGGTGGAGAGAGTAAGTGGGGAGTAGGTGTCCCCTGAATAGACCCTCTCTAAGGACGCAGGGTAGGGGTAGGGGGACAATCTGAAAGTGATTGGAGAGCCTGCGGTCCTGGAGGGAAGGGTTGAGCCGTTATTTCAGGGTGCTATATTTTGCCTTCCTCCTCTCCATCAGAGAAACTTTTGGGAGGTGTAGTTGAGTAGATGATTTCCTTGAAGAAGCCCTGTAGGGAGTGAAGAGTGTGGCTGAGCCAGCACTCTGCGGACCTTCCGGAAGGAGATTTGGAGTGGGGAACCAGATGACAGCCACAGATTACATTGGCTTCAGTGGTCTGTGGGGATCAGGGAAGAAATGAGGGTTATGAAGTAAAATAAAATGCAGGTGTAAATCTGTCTCTGTCACACTAGGTGGTGACCAGTGTTTGCCCTGACCTCGACCCTCCAACCCCATCAGCTGTAGTCGACCTTATAGGAGAAGAGGTTGACTGTACCCTTCTGTTCCTTTCTCTGAGCCACAGTTAGCTGCTATTTTGAGGTATCCAGGGGAAAAGGCATGAAAGGTGACACACCTTCATTTCAAGGGGCAATATCTGGGGCTCAGACATTCATTTATAACTGGTTCTCAGATCTCTTGGCAAATCCTGCTCCTGGTTCTTTGCTGCTTCTTGAAAGCGCTCTAGCTTCATGCTGAGTCTAGGCTGTTTGTGAAGATGACCCATCTCTTTCTCTCTATTGCAGGTATACACGAGGCCTAGTATTTTTTTTTTTTTTTTTAATGTCTCACTTGTGATTTTTCAGGTACCAGGAAATGAAACAATCCCAGTTCTGTGTGATTTTCCCCTTCTCAGGTCAGCTTGGTGTGTGTTTTAAAGGAACATGAGATATCAGCAGCTCCGCCAGTCTCCTACCAAAAGAATTAGCTTTGAGTTTTGCTGGCCTAATGTGAGAAATCCAAGAGAGTAATGTTTGCACGTTGAAAAGCAAGGCTCCTTTGTCTCATTTGTCTTCACTTTGCAGGCATATGCCCTGTCCCCCAATCACCCCCATACCTCCATCCTTACTAATGAGGGGTCAAGTCCAAGCAGGGAGTTCTGTTTCCTATGTGTGGAGGCACTGTAGAAATCTCAAGGCTTTACACAGAGGGCACAGTCTGGGAGAGGTGTAAAAGCAACATTGCCAAATAGCACAAGCAATGAATGTTCTCTAGTTCTATAGATGCCAAAATAACACTTGGGTTTGCAAAGTGCTTTATGCTTTTTAATGATTGTTAGTTGTTTCTCACATCTTTGTGAGGTGAATCAGTATTATGACCTGTTGTAGGGAAGGCCTGGGGACAGGAATGTGGCAGGGTGTCCTGAAGTAAGGCTGAGGCCAGTGTGAATTGGTGTGGCCTAACCTTTCCTGTCCTCTGGCTCACCTGCTAGGAAGACTTAACTGTCATGACTGCATGATAAAAACACTGAACAGTTTTATGCTTGATGGAAAATTGAAATCTAGCTTAGAAGGGCCAAAGATGTCCTTATTGACAAAGCTGGTCTTTGTCACCTAGTTAGGGTGTCCTAACTATGTTCCATTTCTAGTAGGGGGCTGTAGTTAGATGACTCTTGTGTAGATTTCAGTTCAGTATCCTGAAAATTACCTCCCTTGGGCTAGCTTTAGAAGTTAGAGTTGTGGAAAGGAGTGTTTTCTTCACTAATATTTGTTACTCTATACTATTCATAGAAGCGTTTTCACAAACTGTTAGACACAGTTGAAGGGAAAAATACTACAAAATTGTTTTTACAGTTTTAGAAAACTTTCTGTGGATGCTAGTAATTTATACTTGATCAGTTATATTCTAGCAAAAAAACCTCTTTGAGAACTGTAGGAAAGCATGTTTTTGTCATAACAAAAGAATTCTGAGAATTTTGGGTTGTATATTGCCTATCGATCTTGCCCTCCTAATTTTTTTTTATTATTCATAAGTGAAACTGGATATTCACACTAGGAATAGTTTTGAAAGATACTAATTCATTTTTATTTTCTTTTAAGCAAGACAAGCAAAGTACCTATCCATTATTTATTCTGACTTGTAGTCTGAATACCAAGTGTAAACACTCTATCAAAAAATAATACAATCAGTTTGTAGGTAATATTTCTCCTTTGTGGTGGGTTGTTTTTTAGTGTACATCTACCTCTTCCAGCTGTTTTAAATTTTCTCAAGTCTGTGCCTATATAGTCTCATCCAACTTTGATTGTTTATGAGTTGATTACTGGTTTTGTGTTACTTGATCATTTGCTGCTGACATTACACAGTCTTATCATTATCAAATGTATTACACACATCAGCAAAATTGATGGGGGGAATGGGGATCAAAGTTAGTGTAAAATAATGGCAGTGGAAGTCTCTGGGCTTTGTCTTTTACCCTTTTATTATTAGGGAAAAGGGTGAGCTATGGAATTAGAATCCCTTCTCCTTAGCAATAGAAGTGTTCAGACACCAGCACCCAGTCTCATTGTGTATTGAAAATGTGATTCTATATTTCATATGCTTTTCCAGGGTAGGTACCCTTATTAAGTGAGGTTAAATGCAGTCAGGAGGGTGTTTCTTGACTTTAATTTTAGAGTAATAATATTTCTTCAGCAAACCCTGTTAACTGTGGTTTACTTTTGGAAATCTAAGGATTAATTTAAGGATTTCTTCCTTCAAATCATTAATGGTGATAGCAGCAAGTATATTATTTGTTTCTTGGGGAATTTGGCCAAGACCTGTGCTAAGCAAAACCTAAAGCAGTTAAAAGTTTGATTAAATCTTGAGTTCTGGGTTGGAAGGAGATAAACACTTAACCCCTTGAGCTGTATGGTCTCTTTACAGTCAAAAGACTGTGTATGTATGTGAAAAGGTACAAATTAAGGATTTGTGTTCATAGACAATCTGAACTGTGTTTCTGGTTTATGCACACTTTTCTTCACTGTAATGACTTTACATCTGTTTGTTAAAATACTGACTAATTTAATGCTCCTAAGAGAAACAGGTTTTGTGTGAGTGTGTTTATGTATATGAGAATTGCCTTGTTTTGGGGTTGTTTTATTTAATATTGGTTCTTTGGACAGTATTCTGGTGTTCAGCAACAAATACGGAATGTTGGTCATTAAATCCGTATCACTCTTTCACTGTTATTTTTCCTTATTTGTTATTCATACATAAAATGTCACACAGTTTGATCTATAGAAACGATGCTATGGTGAAAGAGGGATTGGTGAACTACCAGATCGGCTTGACTTTTTGTAAATAAAATTTTATTGGAAGACAGTCTCACCCATGGAGTCACATTCTTTATTGTCCATAGTGACTTTCACATTGCAGTGGCAGGGCTGAGTAGCTGTGACAGAAGCTACCTTGTGCTGTCTCTAGTACTACGAAAACTTGCTGACTGTTGCATTAAATGTTCATTGAGGTGGATGCTGGACTTGGCTGATGTCTGGACTTCGATACTCTTAGATACACGTTTTGACCAATAACTCAGTACAGTATGTCTAAGCTCAAGTCCTCTGAGGTGCTGGGCATGTGTTTATCGTAGAGCACTGTTATCCCTTCTTCCAAAGATCATGTGTAGAGGGTTTTGGGGAAGGGTAAAGATCAAGTAGTTATGGAGAAGCAGTTGCAAATCTAATCTATTGGAATATATTCCCTAATCATATCACAAATATTTTCTTTCCTTCAGTTCTTGAAAGTGTAAATTAATGGTAACTGATCTGTCTGGTAGACTGGTCCTTGAACTTTTTTTGTTTTTTTTCAGACAGGGTCTCAGCTTATAATTCAGGCTGGCCTTGAAATTATAGCAGTCCTCCTGCCTCAGCCCACAGAATCCTGGAACTACAGACATGCACTATCATGCTCGTCCTTACACTGACTTCCATGCATAATATTTCTCAGCTAGACTGCTCTACTACACGAAAATATTGAGTGAGGCAGTACTTTCTCAGGAAGAGATCAAAAAAAATCAGGAGTGATGTGAGAATGCATCACAGTGCCTTTTTAAAAGATCACAACTTCTTTGCATAGCCATCAGCCATTTTCCTGTTTAGCAGGGTCATGGGGACACAGCCAAGAGGCAGTCACAGTGCTGTGGTGATGTTCCTCACCAAACCTGACGAATGCCATCAACCAGACTATGTCTGTTTTCCCAGGACAAAGCTTGACACTTTAAGGTAAGTAAGCTGGTATTAAAGAAGGATGGCAGGGGATCTGGCCCACCTGACTACACATTAAAGTGTTGCCCAGCCTGAATCTGAGATGAAGCGGAGCTTTCCCACAAACCAGTGAAAGGAGGTGCATCTGCTCATCTTGGGATTTTAGGGTTAGATTAATTGAGACCAGTGATGTCCTTAATGTTGGAGAAATTGTGTGTGTTTGCTTTTTAAATCTGGATGTTAACTGCAATGAAGCCCATGTATATTTGACTTTATGAGTGACCCAGGCAATTTTTTTTTTTTGTCTTTTTCATTTTTATCGGTACCGGGGATCAAACTCATGACGCCTGCTTGCAAGGCAGGTGCTTATGCCGCTGAGCTAAATCCTCAGCCTCTACCCAGGCAATTTTAATGGGAAATGGGGTTAAGAACTCTTGGGACAAGTCAGGCACCTATTTTTCTGATGATAGGACATGTAAGCCATGAGCCTCACGGCCTCCCTTGTTATCAGAGGATGAGACAAAAAAGGCTCCTAAAGTATCCCAGACTGCTATCCTGGGCTGCAGAAGAACAATTCTGCGCAAATCTAATGGCAAGATTATAAGGAAAGACCAAGCAAACAACTACTTGTTGTTAACCAGAAAAAGGCAAGAAGGTACAGGAGCTGCTGCTGGACCATCTCTTTCTGCCCCAGTCATATTTGTCCTTTGTTCTGTCCTTTCTGACCTTCATTTCCCACTCAGCTCATGGAGCACAGCACAATTCCTACATCACCCTTTCCTCCAGCTGTCCTGGGAAATCTCAATGTTCTTTCCTTTTATCTGGTACATAGGGTAGGAGTCTTTTGCATGAGCAAACTCACTTTACTGGGCTTCTCTGTTTTTCTCAGAGCCTCAAGTGCTTGCAGATTTCAGCAGCCTGCTGCCAGCCTGTACTTTCAAGGTCATCTATGCTGACCCAAAACACATTCCGATGGTTTTCCATTTCCACCTATCCTGGCAGGATGCAGACTGTTCCTCATACCTTGCACATTTGTCCTATGCTTTGCTTATCACAGTAGCGGGAAGTGCTCAACCATGGGTCCCAGAGAGGGTCTGGTAGGTATGTCATGTATCAAGGCACCCTTGTTTCAAGAGGATGGAGTGATATGAGTGTGTGTGCCATGCTTCCCTTACCCATATGTGGAGGATTTTCTGTGTGGTAAGGAACGATGAGTTTCAGTGCTGGAGACTATGGAGTAATATTGCATTTTATTCCAGAAAACACTTGTATGTGATTTCTTCCCAGATTTGCTTGGGCTGGAGTGGATCTTTACAGGCGTTCTCAGGGTGCTTTGCACAAGTTACTGTGTATAATAATAATCAAACCTCCTTGAAACTAAGGGTTTTGTGATTTGTTGTATACCCACTGAGGAACTGGCTCCATGAATATATGGTGTAAGCAGTTATGAGGCCCAGTGCTTCATGCAAGGCAAACAGGTATGAGAGAGATAGAGAAACTGGAACATTCTCACACTGTATCAGGGTGAAAGTTGATATTGTTTGCTTCGTATGAGTAACCTACCTGCCTTGGAGTGACCTACTTTTCAAATTAAAGTATGACTTCTGACTCCTGGCCAGGAGAGTGGGCAAGAGCAGGAGCAAGTTCTTAATACCAAGTCTTCTCACTCAGGGAATAGATGGGACTGGAACTCAGCAAAGACGCAGGAGTGAGAGTAACTGGAGCTCAGGATGACTACCATGGTCGCCAATCTTGACAATGCCCATTTATCTGGCTGATTTGGACAGTTGTGTCCTTAGAGAGGTAGGAAAGGATGGAGCTGGGAAAGAATATGGCTCTGCATACATTAGTCAGCATTACACTGAGCAAATACAGAAACCAGCAAAGCTGTGATGCCAGATTTTCAGCTGAAGAAGGTCTATTGCTCTGTGGGTTGATAAAGTGAGACTTATGAACATAACTTCAGACAGATGGATACTGGCCACTATTCAATGGTGCTGCAGCCCAGCATTAACATGGCTCAGCAGTGTAAGGAGAGTTGCTCCTGGACTTGTCTGGACAGTGGAAGACATGAGTGTGGGATGTGGAGAGCAAAGCAGACAAGATCATGAGACCACAGACATGGAACCTCCTGGAAGATTCAGTGACTGTGAAGAACTTAGAGGCCAGGAGTGGTAGAGAGTTGTGTCCAGGGTGACTTGGACACCCTGGGCTGCTGAGGAGCATCCTAAAGCTTTGTACCAGCTCCCAGGAGCTGAGAGGAAGAGAAGAAGCTGTGGCTGTGCAGGTAGACTGTCCTGTGGGGCTTTCATCTCCTGGGGCAGGAAGATGAAGGAATGGGAGGGCAGTGCTTTCCTGAGGAGAGAGGAAGGGGAATCAGCCAGTCGTTCTCTCTCTGAGGTTGTGCGTGAGTGACAGTGGCCTTGAAAGGCTCTGGCTGTCAGTCCTCTTCAGCAGGCACTATCTCTGTTGGCTCTCTGCTTTCTGTTTTCCACTGATTCTCCAATAATATGACTTTTTTAAAAGGATAAAACTAAGGAAAATAAAACAATAAAATCAATCAAAATAAAGCAATATATGGACTTCAAAACCTTACAAAATCAACAATAGTTATCATAATACCTTTTGTTGTCTTCAAAATATCTACAGAGGCCATCGGACATAGTAAACATTGAACAGAACAGAATAGAATAAAAACAATAAAAACGAAACAATGAATGCAATAAAGGATTTCAAAATAAGCCAGCAGTAAATCCAAAATGACTACCATAATATTTCTTGCTGTCTTTAAAATAGCTGCTTGTGCTGTCAGATTTAACATAATCAAACAAAACAAAAGAGAATAAAACCCAGCCCAACAAATCAATGAAAATGATATAGTTTCCAGGTGGAATCGTGCCCCGGTGAGGCCTTGTTCTTTCCCTCCACAGCCCATGAATGGGGCTGACTCACAGAGAGAGCCTTGGGTCTGGCTGTCCCTACTCAGGCAGCAGCCAGCACATGGCACTGTTTCCAAGCTGGGATCTTTCCAATAATATAAAACCACCTGGGAACACCTAGAGCTGAATGCAAGAGGGAGAGGAAGCTGTGTGTAAGTCAGCATTCATTTCTGCTGTTGTGTGGTCCTCAGATGTCAGGACAGGCATAAGATGAGTTTTTGATGAGTTCCTCCTTCGCCACAGGCCTGATCCTTCACAGAACTCTGAGGAAAATGATGTCTCTTGATGGATGAGGTACTGGCCGCCATTCAGGCTAGAGGAGAACTAGGAATCCACCCTGCCATATGGCCTTGCCTCACACAAACAGCAAATATTCAGATGGAGACTATGCTATCAGGAAGCTGAGCATGCAGAACACCTCCCAGAAGCTCACAGCATTCCTGCAGGCCTTAACCATGGCCACACTCTTCATCCTGCAGGAGAGGAAATAGACAGAAAGTGAGTAGATCTGTTTCACTCTGAGGCAAAGTCGAAGTGAAAATTCAGGAATGCCTTTAGTTCACTGCTTGCAGAAAGAGTCTACTTCTGAAACAGGAGAATAATTTTCTGAGTTTTTGCCCTTCCTCTGCCTCATGAGATCCTCTCACTGGAGCTCCTTTGTTGTAAACCATGAAGACCTGCCTGTCCACCTTTAACACTGGTTTCGAGGTGGGATGATTGGGACTGAAGCGGGAAGTATGTTGTTCTCATTCACATGCCCTCTCGTCTTATTGGGTTTTTAATTTTTCTTTCTTTCTTTCTTTTTTTTTTTTTTTTTTTTTTTTTGTGCTTAACTAATAAGTTGGGAGTGCCATCTCCTGGTCTGTGCCTCTGAGGCTCCAGGAAGCTAGGCTTCCTCTTTAACATTCTCAGCTGAAGTTAGCAACTATTACATCACCATTACAGGTGGGAATCAGAGTTCTTATCTTGCTTTGCAAACAGTCATGTATGTCAATCTCTGATATATTTTCTCAGATCCTATATTTGGGTCATTCTCATTCTAGTCCATATATGTGACATAGCTGTGCACAAGTTTTTAGTACAGATACCCCAGGGTGCTCTCCCAGAATCCTTTGACCTCTGAGCTGACACAGACACTCATGTGCAATCACAGTGGGCTGTGACAGGTGCCCTTGTAGAGGGAAGG